GAAGAAAAACAGAAGGGTAGATGAGAGACTAGTGTGCTTTTTGCCCAGTTGTATTCAACAGAGGCCGTTTTGCTGTCCTTCAGGAATATCCTAGTGATTAGACATTTAAGTTTTCATATTAAAGATTTTAAACTTAAACCTTGAGAGTAAAGAGAAGTTTGAGATAGAGAGGAAAAACCCTCTACGTTCATATAGTAAACACTGCAGTGGGAAACAATACATACAGAATCTGTAATCAACGAAAAAAAGGAAGTGCTTCCTTTTTAAGGGAAACTGAGAAACATACTTATGTTCTTCATATGAACAAAACATTAGGGTCCACAAATAACCCAGAATATCAAAGTTAAGAGTAGACAATATAATCTATATAATACAATAAGACAGTTTAGATGTTGGGGAATTGGGGTCATGAGGAACAGAACACCAAATGGAAGCAACAAACTACAATCAATGCTAATTAAAAACTCTAATCTTGTGTTGCATCTGTTGTTACTAGGGGATTCTGAAAACAACCATCATTTCCACAATTTATTTCCACAATTTGACAAACTTGTCGTGACTAGCAGAAGCAATCAGCCCTGTTGCAGTTGATACATCCAGTGCAGCAATTAATCCCTCATGTGCTGCCAAAGCCATGGCTTTGTTCTCAACCATATTCCAGAGCTCCAAAGACTGCAGTCAACACCCAAAGTTGCAGCTCAGAAACAAATGGAAGACTAGCAATGTGAAATAATGATTTTGCAAAGCATATAGTTAACATAACTCAAAATCATGTAAAGAAGCTCCCAATATTGTAATGCAGGTTTTTGCATGATTGCTTACAAAAGGTTACACAAAGGAAACAACTTACCTGGTAACAGCCAATGACCAGCAATGATGATGAAAAAGTAGGATGAAAAACACAAGAGTAGAACTTGTTGCCGTTACACCTCAGGTCATGAATACATTCTCCTTCAGATCCAGATCCAAATGTCCACACCCTAACAGAGTCCTCACTGACAGAGGCTAGAAACTCGCCTGAAGGGTTCCAGCATACCGACTGGATTGGTTTAGTATGGCCCTGTAAGTACTCACAAATTTACAGGAAAATCAGCCATCCACTAATAGAGAAAGCACATAAAATGAACCATTTTAAACACACCTAACAAGAATTAAACAAAAAATCCCCAAATCACCTACTAAGGACATTTGAAGGAGAGCTGATTATGGTCATATTTGGCTTGTCAAAACTTATAACTGCCATTCCTTCAAATCTCTACCCGTTGGGAGCAGCCTTTCAGCAAAAGACCCTTAGCGAGATTAGCAGTCAAACAGAAAATCTACACTACTCCAATTTAAGTCTCCCAAAATTGTACCACAATTAAAGTTTTTTGCATACATTAGAAGAGCATATTTTATGCCCTAACAAAAGTCAATTTTATTCACTTTTTCAACAACTGAAATGCTTTGATAATAACAAGAGAAATGAGAAATTATCAGATATTAAAATAAGAACCAGAGGAGTTTCATTGATGTCTCAAATATATGCATTCCTATCTTTCCTCCACGTGATATAAACCATTAGTTTGAATAATTTTCATGAGTTTAGTTTCATTTCCCATTCTTGTTTTTTCCCCCTTATTTTGGTGGTATTCTGTTCATATTGTTAAACACACCTGTAATGAATGCCGCAAGATTTGTGTCTCCACATCCAAGATAGATACAACATTCTCTGCAGCAGCAGCCAGGTACTTTCCAAGGCGAGGTTGAAATCTCAACTGAGCCGTACCACCCTGAAGTGGAAAAAGGATAATGTATATAAATATATCAAAAAAACAATGAAACAATCCCTAAAGAGGAGACCTGAATTTATCTTAGCAATAAGCACAGCCACAAAATCATACCTTGAAAACTCTTGCACAGCTCCCATTGTTAATACTCCAGTATCTTATTTCACCATCTTTATCACAAGAACAGATGAGATCATCCTTAGTTGGGTGAAAGTCAAGTGACATAACAACAGCAGAATGCCCCGTAAGGGTCTGAAGTGAATTACCAGGCTGCAGAAAAAGTACTATACAAAGTCAGACAAATACAGGAAACACTCTCAACCAAAAATTTAAGTCAAGTTGTCTACCAGAATATGCCAAAGAAACGGAAGTTCAAAGCAAGCAACCAATGACCTGTTGGTCCAAGTGAAAGGAGCTCGGTTCCCCTTAAGCAAAGTCTCGAGTTCGAGTCTTGTAAATGGAGAAACAGGCGCTAGGAGAGCTTCACCCTAATGGGGTCCGACGTGGCTCAATTCTGGATTAGTCGGGACCCAATGTGGTTACTAAATAGCGGGAGGTTAATACCAAAAAAAGGCAAGCAAGCAGCATGTCTAATAGTATGCTGCTAAGTAATAGCCCATACTACAACTTATTACACACCAAGCCATATGCAAGCAGATGATACTTGGCATTTCAAAGGATTTCAGGATCAGACTCATAAAGTTCCATTCCAGAGCATTGAACTTTGAAGGAGATACCAATTTTTATCTACCTTTTCATACCATCAGCATGAAGATTGAAAGCACAAGAGAAGCTCAATTTACAGATCTCCAAAACTCATTGCTGAGTAAATGTTGGCATCAACTTATAGAAAATTGATGCCACTAAGATCAGGAGAAACCTTTATGTTATTTTCTCATCTACTTTATTGCCAAAAATAGTAACTCACAGCATAGGCACGATGTACCAGGTATTGTTTATAAACAGTTCTTTGTTTGAGTGGTCTCCTAGATTCTCAAAGCATGGTAAAGTGCCCACATTTGAGTAGCAGCAAGCCAGCAAATTCAAATTACATGAATAACAAAGTTATCAGATCATGATTGCAGCTCATATTATATTAACAGACAATAATGCAAAGCCATTCAGGCTTTTTCTTGAGAGATAATTTGCAAAGAAATAGGGCATTTAGCAATTAACATGTAAGAGTTATTTCATCATCAAGAATGAAAGATTCGTCATGGCCACTAACAGGGTATTTCCGTTGATCAAAAGGCCAAGAATGTTCATACATCATTTCTACCATGTTAAAAAATGTGGGATCATCATATGCAACTCATTCAAGATGCCAATTGCATCAACAGCATTACAAAAATCTAGTACCCAAACCACAATAACTGATCAAGCCAAGAATGTAATTATATCTTAGTTGCAACATATATCGTTATTAGCTCACCAACATCTGCAGAGTTTTAAATGTTGTATTGTGGTTTACTACAACCAGAGAACAATCCTTGAGTTAAAAAAATTAAATTAAAAAAAAAAAAAAAAGAATGAAGAAGAAGGAATGAAAAAAGCCTAATAACAACAGGCACATATAAATAGCACTAGTAGGTAATGAATTTGTTGGTAACAGTGTGTGCACATGAGAAGGGGGTGGGGTGGTTGACTCATAACTAAAAGTAAAAGAAGTGAAAGCTAAAACAATAGGAAAATGTCTACTAACATTGTCAGCATCCCAAACCCTGACAGTTTTGTCAAATGAAGAAGTTGCAAGACATGGCATGCTAGGACCGAAACGGACATCGGTAATCAAGGATGAATGTTCTTCAAGTGTAGACTTTGGTTCCATGGTATCTGTAAAGAATACCACAGCCTGCATCATAGAAACCAAAAGGTAAATAATTTCACATTTTACTCTAACAGAACATTGCCAAAAAATCCAGATATGGAGCAAGTCAAAACAACAATGGCATCTCCACGTACACAAGACTCCATTCACTTAACTCACCTTTTTGTCATGGCCACCACTAGCAAGCAACTTTCCATCTGATGAGAAGTGACAACAAATAACTTTGCTTGAGCTTGCTTGAACAGAATAAACTTCCGTAAATGAGAACCCTGTATATAAGTTCAAATTCTGTTAGTTAAAAAGCAGAACCAGCATGAAAACTTTGTAACTGGAATCGTCTTTGTTTTTGGGTTGAATTTCTTAACATGATATCACAGCAAGGTCTTTGTTGCTCCATTTGTTATTTACCACCTCAGTTTTATATCCACATCCATTTATTTCCGATGTTATATTGGGCTATATACGCAGAGGAAATGTTAAGTATTGGTACCAATGAGCTGTTGGTCTGAGTGGAAAGAGTTTGATTCCTCTTAAGTAACATTTTAAGTTCAAGTTTTGTATATAGAGAAACAGGTATTGAGAGAGTTTTTTCTAACGTGGTCCAACACAACTCGAGTCCAAAAAAAAAAATTAAGTATTGGTGTTACCACATTGTTTTAGTAATCTGCCCTTTGTTGTAACTTCATATTATAGCCACATCAATTAATTTTAGTTTGGAAATTATAATATTTTGTATTGTAGTGTTGATGGGACCATACCCACGGCTGCTTGCATATGCGACATATAATGTTCACATAGCACTTGAGGCAAAAGCTATTCAAAAATATTTCTAAAATAAATAAATATAGGAAGTCCATATGTGCACCTTGACTCTCATGGGATGAGGAAGACCCCACGTTATCATCCAGAGATCCATTCTCCATTTCAGCCTGCAATTCAACATCTTTGTTATCCCCAATGCCAAAATGAAATAACAACAATAATATCTAAACAAGGAATCTCTAATTATTCCAACCAAATATCCGTGTTGTAAGTAGTGGATTACGGCCAAGAGCTAAATGGTAAAAATCCGATACGATAACGTATAGGATTGCACAGCCGTTACTATTAAATAGCAGCCATAAAATATTTATTACACTCTATTCATGGTTATTTTTCGAATAATCAAAATAAATATATATAAGCTACTTATTGCTGTGAGTAGAATAATTTCAATTTTCTTTACATAAAATCTCTAAGTTTAAACTTTATAAATGAAGAAACATTATGATTTCAATTTTTCTTTAAATAACATTTCAAATTCAAGTTTTACGAAAAAATAATATTATAATTTCAATTTCTCTTAAAAAAAATCTCATGTTCAAGTTAGAACCACATGAGTTTTTTTCTTTTTTTTTTTTTAAATCGCAAGACTTACAAAAATTAAAAATCAAAAGCTATGGACCATTAATTTATAGAATAATAAATCTAATAAGAAAAACAATATGATGGAGAACAGATTAAACACTGATTTTTACTAGCAAATTATAGGACTACAGCTCTGAGAAATCATACAATTATCATCATTTAAAGCTTTAGTCATCGGTTCATTATACTTTTCTTTCACTTTTTTTTTCTAATTTTTTAACTCATCAAAAAGTCAAGCTTTTAGTCCGGCCAAAAAATATTCTTTAGTCATCAGCTCAGTATGTTTCCTTTTCCGACTATTTTTTTTTTTTTTCAATTTTGTGACTCGTCGTCCTAATCCCGATCATCATACGTGATCTAGTCAGCATAATTGAAAAACAAAAAAAATCTGAGAAAGGTAACAGGAGGACCAAGAAGTGTGCTGATATCTTCAGAAGCAAAAATTGAGAATCAAGAAGGAAAGGAAGGAAGGAAGAAGAAGAAGAAGAACAGAAGGGAAGAGCAAAGATGGATGAAGTTGAACTACCTGATGTGCGCCATGGAGTTGATCGAGACAGCGGAAATGGAGTTTTGGTCGCAGACATCGGGAAAGGAGGAAAATAGACCGGTGTTGGGGAAGTGAAGTTTGGGTTATTTTTCTTTTTTCTTAAAAGAAATTAAATGAAAAGATAGATCTACTTCATGAGTCTAACACAATAGCGTAAAATAACCAACAAGCACTCATTAGTTTAAATAAAAAGATGTTCGTTCTTTAAACATCCCAAGTTTAAATCTCTGCAATGAAAAAATAACAACTCGATAGGAGAATTTTTTTTTTATTATAGATTAATTAAAATGTAATGTAATTTTTGGATATAAAAATTAATAAAAAAAAAAACAGTAGCTTAAAATAGCAGCCGGCATCTGCTATTTGCGTTCCCGCTAAGCTACTGAGATTTTTCCAAGACCAATATTCTCTTAGCCTATATTTGTATAAAAGTTAGTAAAGGAAGGTAAGGGAAGGGAAGAAAGGAAAGAAAAGGGAAAAGAAGTGA